CCCCAGAGGCAAAATTGCCTCTGTATTTTCCCGTCCTCGAACACTTCTGACACTGAAAAGATAACAAAGGGGAAAGTTTAAAGCAATAAATATCCCCCATTTGCCCCGTCCTCCGTCTTCGGCCGGAGCTGAGGGCAGACGGCATTTGCCCGAGGAAATACAGGGTTTCGTAGCCCTGTCCCGGACCTCTCCTCCCGATCTCTGCCACTTTCTTGGCGTCTATGGAGATTTTTCTACCCTGACAGCCTCTGGGGTTTGTTTCCCCCCGCCGCTCCCCAGCCTGTGCTCCCGTTGCAGACCGCAGGAAAGTGTGGCCGGTGCCGCTGGGCACTCTGATGGCGCTGGGGTTAGTGAGCTGGGAGAAGGCTCCAGGAGTGAGAGGCTGGCATTTTGGTAACAGTGTTTAATAAGCCAAATTGCATTATTAAAGTTGCAAAGACTTCCTGGACGCGCAGAAGCCCACTGACAGGTTTTCTTCTGTTTTGATGGATTTAGTGCTCTTTCAGTACTCTTCTCCCACCCATGCAGCAGTAGCTAAGACTTGAAGATTTAAGATCGCACACCTCTAGGCGAGTCAAAGCCCACGCCCGGAGCAGCTCATACAGCTTGTGATTGATTTCCCCACTGTGCTGCTTCCCTTCCCAGTCCCGTGCGAAAACCCTGTCTTCTTTCGGCACGAATGTTGTGTCCTCTCCACGTCCGGCAAGGCACGGAGGGGAAGCTGGAGCCTCGGAGCGCCTAAACCCTTTTGGAAAGCAACTTTCCGGCCCAAAGAGCCCCAATAAAAGTTTTAGACTGGATGAGCCTTTACGCATACCCGAGTGACGAGGCTGCACGGAGCCATCGTGGTGTGACTGGGAAAGAAATATCGAGCAAAGCGCAGCCGGAGCCTCCCCGCGTGCTCGGACTTCGCTGCCTCCCGCTGCTGGGTCCCGGGCTCCGAACACGGACGGGGTCCCCAGCGGCCTCCTACCCTCCCCTACCCCTCACCTCTGCCCCTAGCTCTGCCTCCCCTCCGAAAAACACCATTTCTTCTTCCTAACACCATTTCGCTTCCTAAAACTGTGTTTTTCCCTCCTTTTCCCACTCCCCCCTACCCTCCCAATCCGAGCCGTCCTGATTTTCACCACTAAGCCAACTCTGGACAGAAATGATAGCTATATTTTATAGGATGGGAAAGGTGATTCGCAGCTGTCTATTTGGGGTTTGGGGTAGTTTTGTTTTTATTTTTCCCTCGAATGCATATTATCTCACTTGATGACGAAAGCTATTGATTGCTAAAGTGGAGCCACCGACTTTTAGCAGGCTTTCCAACCCCCCCTCACAAAAGTGAAAATACATATATAAAGGCAGGAAAAGAAAAAGTAAAATTAACATATACTTTCGGAAGTGTTTCAAATACGTACAAATCCCGTTTTATGTCTTCCCATTCACGTGTATATTGATACCATAAAAGAGAAATCCTTCAGCGGGGTTTTTCTCTCGGTACTTTATTCATTGAAACTGGCAGTTCCACTCATTATTCCACTCCCTTAAACCCGATTCTGATGCTGGCTAAATATAGAGCTTCGCCTTCCTGGGAACGCGAATCGAATACACAGTAAGCAAATCAGTATAGCACAGGAGGGGGAAAAAACCTTTGATCAAAGCCCTCCTTTTCTTCCCAATCCTGGTTTACTGGGGCGGAGACAGGTTTCTTGCTTATTGCACATCATTTGCAAAGATCAAGCTTAAAATACAGTGACTTCTCCTAGAAGTAGTAGTTAAAAAATCCCGAAAGTTAGAGGGGTGGGCGTTAAGAGAATTAAAACCAGATTGAATTATTATTAAAAAAAAAAAAAAAAAAAAAAAAAAAAAAAAAAGAGTAAAGCTGGGTAACGAAAAAGGAGATGTCTCAGAGCTGGGGAGAGAATATATTTTTAATAAGACTAATTTTTCAAATAGAAATGAAGACGTCCACGAGGGAAAAATGCGTAGGACGGAGGACGGAATAACACCTTCCTTGTTTTGGTCTTTTGCAATACCCGCGGATGGTTATCTCGACCTCAGGGACGCCTCTTTTTATTTTTTGTCACTGTGGATCCTTTGCCATCTCGCAGCCCGCGGGCTCACCCGGGCCGGGAGGTCGGCGTACCCCGAGCAGAGGTGGGGGGGATGTTTGCAGAGCACCGGGCGGCGAGGCACAAAAGGTCAGAAACGAGCACACCGCGCGCGGCCGCGCCCGCTCGCCCGCGGCCAGCAGAGGTCGCCGCGGTACCCGCCGCGACGCCCGCCTTGCGCGCAGCCTGCGCGCCCCTGCGCGGGCAGAGCCCTAGGCTGGGGAAGAGGCGGCCGGGGACGGTCCCGCGGAGGGGCTGCTCACTGCCGATGGCCGCGAACCCCCGCCTCCTGCTCACCTCATCTCTCCTCCTGCGGGCGGCCGAGAGCGCACCGAGGCCCTGTAGGACTGCGGCATCGCAGAGCTCCGGGATGCGCTCCAGGCGCTGCGGGACGCGGGGCATGGAGAAATGGCGGGTAGGCGGGAGGGGAAGAGGGGCACGACGGAGGTCCCCCCAGGAAGGGAGAGCGGTGCGGGGGTTACACTGGAGTCTGTACGGATTAAAATGCCCGTCACTGAAGGTTTGCCCTATACACGTGCCTGGATGTCTCGAGCTGCCAGCATCAGCAGTGGTTCTTGGTAATTACTTTCCGGTTTACTCAGCTAAAATGCAGAATTATAAACTACATCTGTAGATGGCCTCTTATATATGTATGAACATACACAGCCACACGCATGTATGTATATCGCCAGGTTCTTGGAAGGAGAAGCCATCATCTAGTAGATTTGCGTTTCCCACTGTTTATTTAAACGTCGAATATGTAAAGTAAGTGTGCATATGTTTGCAACCGTATCTTTACCTTCTGACACTATCTTGAGATCATTTCAAGTCAGCACAGTTATCTCCACAAGTGGCAACGTTAGGTCCCACTTCTTGTTTGAAATAAAGCTGGAGGGTGTTTTTGCTCCCTGGGTTATGCAAAGGAAAACATCTTTTGCAAACCGAGCTGGGACTCCGACTCCGAGCAGCTCTGTTGTTTAGCAGCTGTCTCATCAGTAAACGCAAGTTTTAGAACTTTTTCTAAGCTACTTCATTTTTGCCAGATTTGCCTCCCTGCGGGCAGGCATTCCGTATGAATATGTCCTTCCCTCTCTTTCCCCCAAACTCTATTCTCGTCGGTCGCATTTGAAATTAAAAAAAGAAAAAAAAAAAAAAAAAAACTTTGAAATAAACGTATTTCCTGATGAGTAGTGATTGGAGGGCAATTACACACTACGTTGGTGAGGGTGGTGTAGCAACCCATATGGAATAGAACACAAAAATTGGATCTAAATAAACTCAAAGAAGACGTTTAAGATGAGGGGCGGTGGATTCAGAGGGTGCCCACGCTGGGGAGCTGGTGCAGCTCGGCAAACAGACTAAAGCAAACGCAGCGGGCAGGCTGAGTGGAGCCCGCCGTCTGCGAAACACACACAAAGAAATCCTTGCCCACGGGAAAGTTGCGTTTTGCCGGGCTGGGGAACCCGTTCAGATAACTCCTGCTGGAGCCAGCAGCCCCGCGGGGGCCGGTGCCTGGGAGGCGTGCTGCGGGAGCCACTACGCAACCAGGGGCGCGGGTACCGCACCGCACCGCGCAGAACGAATCTTTCCACACTGCCTCCAGGTGCCCCGCGCCGCACAAACGGGGGAGTTCGCGCCTTATCCCTTTCTCTCTCTCTCTCTCTCTCTCTCTCTCTCTCTTTTCTTTTTCTTTCAACAAGAATTTCAAGGGATTATTTTCCACAGCGAAAAGTAGCAGTTCTTTATTCTGTGCGAATCTTCTTTCCTGGTCAAGCTACGAAACCCTCTAAGTACGGGATGCATTTCTATTTACAGATAAGGAAAAAGAGGGAGAGAGAAAAAGAAAGAAAGAAAGAAAGAAAGAAAGAAAGAAAGAAAGAAAGAAAGAAAGAAAGAAAGAAAGAAAGAAAGAAAGAAAGAAAGAAAGAAAGAAAGAAAGAAAGAAAGAAAGAAAGAAAGAAAGAAAGAAAGAAAGAAAGAAAGAAAGAAAGAAAGAAAGAAAGAAAAGGGATCTAAAAGGGATTGGAAAACATAAATGGAACAGAGGGAGTGTTGAGGGACAATTTAATGTAAATATTTGTACCTCCTTCGATCTCATGTTTAACAGAAATACATAAAGTTTTCATCCACGATTTTAAGAGAGAAAAAGGATGGAGGGAAACGTAAACAATCCCATCTCGTGGTGGGGCCGTGCCTGCCCCGGAGTAGCAGCGTCGCCTGCGGGAGCCCAAGAGAGGCTCCCTAATGGGAATGATAAACGCTCGGTAGGAAACAGTGGGATTAACACCACCTCCGCCTCCAGAATATATATATATATTTATATTTATATATATATATTTATATATATATAAAATATATATATAATATATTATATTATTATATTATAATATATAATTTATATATATATATAATATATATATATATATATATTTTTATACACACGCGCGTTTATATGTGTGCACACATGTATACAGAGATTGGGAACATGGCTCGGCAAGCCCGAGAGGGGGAAAGGGTGGAGGAGCCGATCGGGGCCGGGAAGGAAAATGAAAGGTGTGACTGAAGATAAGCGGCAGAGATGGAGGAGAACGACAAGAAGAAAGTATAAGAGGAAATACAAATGAGGAGCGAGGAAAAGTTGCCTCCGAGAGCCCGAGCCGGGGCCGCCGCGCAGCCAGACCCTGAAATATGATAATCAGAACAGCTGCGCCGCGCCGCCCGCAACCAATGGACGCCGCGCGGGCGTGACGTCCCCGCGCATGACGTCAGGCCAATGGCGAGAGGGCTGAGTTGGAGCAGAGAAGTTTGAGTAAGAGATAAGGGCGAGGCGAGTGCCCGAGCCGCCAGCGCCCAGTCCAGCACCGCCGCGCCACCGCACCGCGCCCCGCAGCACCGCGCGGCAGGACCCCGCTGCGCAGCCGGATCCCGGCGCCGCGCCGCGTCGCATCGCACCGCGCCCCCTTCTCGCTCTGCAGCCCTGACAGTGTCTCCCACGCTGGTGGTGTTTTGTTTTGCTTTGATTTCCCCCCCCCTCCCCCCCTCCTTATTTCGAGTATTTTTTTTTAATTATTATTATTATTGTTACTTCTACTTTTTTATTATTTGTTTTATTTTATTTTATTTTTAGCGACAGCTCTCAAACCTACTTTGGGGTCTTAAAACGAAACCGTACACCATTTCACTGTGGACACTACACCCTCTCACAGATATGGGAGACATGGGAGACCCACCAAAAAGTAAGGCGGAATTTTTACCGTTGTTGGAATAAATATGCTGTCTATTGTAATCGTCTCAGGCGGGCGAGCTGCTAGAGAGCTTAACTTCATTTGAACGGTAGAGAAGGTGCCTTTGTTGCCATGCCTGCATGCTTGCTGTGTTTTAGCCTCGTAGCCTTGTATGCTAATAGCCTAGAGTCCTGCTCTCTTTTAAAGTTTGGGGAGCAGGCGAGATTTAAATGGGCACTTCTACCAGGCAGCTTTAGATTCTCTTCGTGCTAGACTGCGGTGGGGCTGTCTGACTATCCAGCACGCGTTCTGTCTGGGGGAATTAGCATTAGACTTGCAAAAGAGAGTAAGTGACAACTGTAATGATGCTTGTTCTTGCTAGCAGCCTCGAGTCCCCTCTTCTATGGCAAAGGGCTGAATGGAAAGCGCACCAGCCACGCGTTCGACGTTTCTAATCAGAGCCGCTTAAAAAAATTAAATCTAACGTGTAGGTGCTCTCCTCGTAAGGATAGGAATCCGAACTAGAGTACAATAAAATAAAAACAAAACAACGAGGGAGTTTGGAGTTTTGATTCTGTGCAGGGTCTTCCAAGTGGGGACCTTCACCCTTCACGTCTGCATTGTAATATATGTTCCGCCTTCTTTCTAAACGAGGCGAGGTTTTGATGGCACGCTTCAATTACCATCCAAAAGTGTAATACCTTTTTTTTTTTTAAAAAAAAAAAAAAAAAAAAAAAAACACAACAAACAAACAAACAAAAAAAACCCCAACTCTTTGAGTACGCCCTATAAGGGAACGACACTAAAAGTGTGTTTATCTCTGTAGGAGAGTAAACGGTTAGTCAATCATGTATTTATTTTCATTTCAGAAAAACGCCTGATTTCCCTATGTGTTGGTTGCGGCAATCAAATTCACGATCAGTATATTCTGAGGGTTTCTCCGGATTTGGAATGGCATGCGGCGTGTTTGAAGTGTGCTGAGTGTAATCAGTATTTGGACGAGACCTGTACGTGCTTTGTTAGGGATGGCAAAACCTACTGTAAAAGAGATTATATCAGGTACGCCATTTATGTTGTTTAACTCATTGGTGAGATTTTTTTCTTAACTTTGTAAATTTGAGACTTAGGGTGAGGAAAAACAGTAACATATAAGGTGAAAATGCAATTGGTGTATTTTTAACTGACTCCAGCAAAGGTAGATAGGCAAGGGGAAAAGTTCGAGCAGTCAAGTTTTTTTTATTCTACAAATTCAAATGCAGATCTCTGAACAAACAAAACCACGCTCGAAAACTGCTAGGGATTCTATCGGATTCTCTTGAGTACTTCAGCTACATATTCTGTGACTCTAACAAAGTGGGAAATCGTAGGTGATGGAGAACGTTTTCAGTAGGGCTGATGTTATGGGCAACGCGGAGCTGGTCTTTTTTTAATACAAGCTGAGAAACACGTATTTGTGCTTTTGTAAAGGCATAATGGCATTAATAGGAAAACCGATTCAAGTATTTATATCAAGTATAAATACAAGGACAAAAATAAGATTAAACAAGGCCTATTAGTAAAAAAAAAAAAAAAAAAAAAAAAAAAAAAAAAAAAAAAAAGCCCAAAAGAGAAAAGCAAAAACAAAACTGAAGTTTCCTTCAGAGTGAAAGATCTTTTTCTGAGGAAGTTAAAACCTAAACCGAAATGTTTCTTTGCTAAAATAACTGACATTTAATCTTTTTAAATATTAACCCCTTTGGTGATATCTGACTGCCTTTCCTTTCTTATCTTATCTGTACTGATGAATTAGACAGAGCAGATCAAATTGCCCATCATCTGTTCACGAACAATTGGGTATATTTAGATAATGGAACCGCTTCCTTCCTCACATTAAAATCTGGTAACTGATAAAATGTGAGAGTTGCCAATCCTGACACTATAGAGAAACCCAAAGCAGGAATTTCGAGTGTGTTTATTATTTGTGCTCCTGGGTCATGCTGATCTGCTTCAGTGTATTCTACTGGGTTTGAAAAACCAGAACTTTGAATGACTCTGAGGTATGGACTGTGTTTTCTTATGGAAAGTTTTGAGAACAACAATTACCTACCCTCTCAAGATATCTTTTCTAGTTTCTCGTCAACTCCTAACTGAAATAAAATGACTCAGTCCAAGACACGATTTGTAATCAGATCGTTCATATAAGCTGTGCCACCAGATTATTCTCCAAGTTTTACCAGGACGAAAAACAATTCAATGTATTATTAATAGTAATAATAATGTTTATTATTTTTTTACTTTGGAAACTTGTTAAATGTTGTCCTGTCGCTAGTTTCAAATTAAAGGAAAATGTGTGGGACTGAGAAACATCCGTTTATCTCCAGCAAGAACTAACTCAGTGGGCTAATTTAAGCAAACTAACAAACAAACAAAAATTTACTCTTATTTTTTGTGCAATACTTTTCATTTCCTAAAATTTTAAAAGTAAATTATCCATTACATGTAATTTGACTTTGAATTCAACCACGAGTATATCTATGATTGCCAAGATGCGGGCAACCCCCCCAACTTCTGTACTTATGAACGTGACACGTTTTGTGAACGCTTTGTTCTTTGTAGTTCACAGTTTGGTTATTGGGGTTTTGTTCTTCTCAAAAACTTCTAATTCCGAAATTCAGAGCTCTGAGTATAAGCCAAGTTCACATCTATAGGCAGAGCAGCTAAACACGTACCTATAAATTTACATCACAGACTATTACTAATGAAATGCACTGGTAAGGAAATGAGTGTGGATGAATATTAGGTCAGTTTTAAGAGCAGCTTTTCTATTTCCATGTGCTACACCCACGTTTGTTTGTGTGCATTTTGTATGTCTTCATACGTTTGGGGGAAGATGCTGATTTTATATAATGCCGTAGAGGCTGGCAAAGGATTCTTGGTGGCAGCCGAGAGACTGCACCTATAAATACCGCGCTGGAATATTTTCTTTTGCCCATCTACTGATGGATGAACGGTGCTCCTCTCCTCCACGCGGGGCGAGGAATAGCCACCTCCTCCAGCCTTTAACCCTGGAGATCCAGTAGCTGCTGCGGGGGCTGCGGTGCAGAGTTGCCTTTCCACTCGTGCTGGAGGGCTTGAGAGCTGGTTCGAGGTGGAAGAAAGCAGAAGGGGAGAAGGAGTCGTGTGTAAGATTGGCTACAGAGCAGAACACAGAAAATACTTTTTAGGAGGGATCATGAGGAAAGAAGTTGCACTGCTACACATGTGAGTGTGCGTGTATACAAAGAGGTGTGTGAATATGCCTAGATCTGTTGTATAAAGTAAACCTGGTGAGAGAGGATAAGGAGAAGAGCCTCTGTCACTGGCGGAACTGCTTCCCGGAGAAGCGGCAGAAGTCGCTGCGGGAGTTCTTCGGAAAAACAAACAAACAAAAAAAAACCACCATTCGGCAAGGCGGTCACGTTTGTGTGCGCGAAGCGGGTGTCAGCTCCGCCAGCCCCGGCTATTCTCCGGGTACCCGAGGGGGCGGTTCAGCTGCGAGCCAGGCGAGGTCAGGTCCCCGCGCCGAGCCGGAGGAAGAGGGCAGGGACGCCTCATGCAGCCTGGGCAGCGGGACTGGAGGAGGGGGCGGCACCTCCTCGGCAAGGAGAGGGGTCGAATTTTTGCTTCTTCCCTTTTTCCCACCCCCACCGCCCTTTCTTCCCCTCCCCTTGCCCATCGCTGTGTCTGGGTCCCCGCCGCCGTTTACAGAGGGGGAACCGTGCATCGGCAGCAGCCGAAACCGTTTTTATTCCTTTTCCCTTGCTAGCTTCTCTATCTCAAAGCTTGTTTAACTTTTGTGCAGCCTGTGGAGCAGCTACGAGAGGCCACGGGGCAGCACACGAACGCGAGTGAAAAACTCTCTTTCTCTCTCTCTTTTTTTTTTTTTTTTTTTTTTTTCCCCCCCCCCCATTCCCTCTGGCAACCCCACTTTCCCCTATTCATGCTCACCCTCTTTCCCTCCCTTTTCCTTCTCTCTGGGCTGGGCCCTGCTCAGGTTATACGGCATCAAGTGCGCCAAGTGCAGCATCGGCTTCAGCAAGAATGACTTCGTGATGCGCGCCCGCGCCAAGGTGTACCACATCGAGTGTTTCCGCTGCGTGGCCTGCAGCCGCCAGCTCATCCCCGGCGATGAATTCGCGCTGCGGGAGGACGGCCTCTTCTGCCGGGCGGACCACGACGTGGTGGAGCGGGCCAGCCTGGGCGCCGGGGACCCCCTCAGCCCCCTGCACCCGGCCCGGCCGCTGCAGATGGCAGGTACCGCCCGCACGGCGCACAGCGGGGGACCCGCGGCCCAGGCCTGCGCACTCGCGGAGTGCCGCGGGTCCGGCTGCCCGCACCTGCGCGGGCAGTGGCACTCCTGCAGGAGCACCCCCGCTCCGCCGGAGGCTGGGAGTCTGAGCTGAGCGGGAGCCGGGGCAGCCCGCGCAGGGAGCGGGTCTGCGGCACGGCACAGACCCCGCTCCGGCCGGTTCTGCGGCGCACAGGGAAAAGCTGCTTTAAGCGATGGTGGACGCGGGGGCAGAAAAGAGATAGACTTCATAACTACAGGCGAGCGCTTAGGCTGTAATTTAAAACTGTCAACAAGCTAATCTGCAGTAATTGCCTTTTGAAGTGACTCTGCCGTCTTGGAAAGTTTTATGTGATTTGATGAGAATTTCATCTTTAAACTCAGCATTGTCGACCCACCTTACAACTTGCACCTCTAGTTCTCGACGTCTGTACCAGGCACTCAGGAACCCTTAGCTGAAGAAAAGGCAGGTCTCTTTGAGGCAAAGGAGGCTGGATAAAACAAGGTTGGCTGGCGATGTTGCTTGTCAAGTAACTGTAACACCAAAGGGTATTTCCAAACACAGCTCTGTTTAAACGGGGTCATTTTCCAGTTTTTTCCCCACTATTTTTTTTCTCCAAGTGACATATCAATATCGAGGGAGAAAAAGAATATCTGTAGATGCCCATTGTAGAATGTAAGAGAAATTGTACATGCACATTGTGTCTGCAGCTAAAATACTGCTAAGACCATATAATCTTTATTCGAATTCACTGATTTATCATCACAATCAGAGGAATTGAAAGCCGACTGTACAAAAGCAAACATTTTTGAATACTAGTAAGCCATGCTTTTAGAAAAAAAAGTTTTTATTTTTCCCTTGACTGGGTCAAATTACATACAGCTATCCAATATACATAAGAATAGCTGAATCACGCAAGTGAAAAGTGCTCTTGATGTGACTTTGCACACTAGTTTTCACTTCTTGATGGTTTCCACTAGATACTTGGATTGCTCCTCTTAAATTGGAGTAGCATTCGTGGTTTTAATAATTATTCATTAAAAATTTACATAAATTCTCCAAATACATCCTCTTTCTAAGGCAGACTCTTTCTTCTGATGCATGGCTCTCATAGGTTTTCCATCTGCAGTCATGGTGTAGTGCATCTGGTGTGTTTTCTTTGGATCTGGAAGCAGCAAGCAGACAGGAGCTGTTGCACGTTATCAAGGCCTCTGACTAAGCTGAGCTATATTCAGCACACAAGATGCAGACCCAAATCATGATTAATTTATTAATTTTCAGACCAAAAGTCTGTTTTAGTGATTTGTCAGGGTATATATACGTAATACCTTCTCCCTCTTTTCCTAGTGCACACACACACGTGCACACACACACATGCATGCACCTTTGCAAGCTTCCCCTCCCCTGTCATAGCTCATACAGGTTCAAGCTTCTGTCATTAAGGGTTTTGGTAGGGGGAGGAGGGGGGGTTCAAATTAATTTTCTGTGGAGTCAGAGATGTCGGTCCTGTCACTCCACCAGCACATAAAGCAGAGGAGGCTGGAGGAGCTCTGATAGAGCCAACTGCCTGAGTGGCCTTTGAAAGAGGTTCATCACCCCTCCTTTCTTTCCCCTCCTTCCCTCTCTCCCCCCACTGGCTTAGTTTCATAGCCTCTGCAGACTCCCTGCTTCCTACTCATGGGGATCCTGTTCCTCCCTTCCCCTTCCCTTACAGCAGAACCTATCTCTGCCAGACAGCCAGCTCTGCGGCCCCACGTCCACAAGCAGCCTGAGAAGACCACCCGAGTCCGAACTGTCCTTAATGAAAAGCAGCTTCACACCTTGAGGACCTGCTATGCTGCCAACCCCAGACCTGACGCCCTCATGAAAGAGCAACTGGTAGAAATGACTGGCCTCAGTCCGAGGGTCATCAGGGTTTGGTTTCAAAACAAGCGATGCAAGGACAAAAAAAGGAGCATTATGATGAAACAGCTTCAGCAGCAGCAACCCAATGACAAAACTGTAAGTGGTTTCAGCCTCTTACTGTGCACTGTTTTACCTCCGAGCAAGAAATGCATAGGCTAAGCTCCAAGGCCAGTTGGGCCCTTTTGATTTTCTGGGAGCTCCCTTAAAGCAAAATGGTAAAATGGTACCTCCTAAATATTATCTGCTTGTTCTGCTGTCAGTGCAGTTAAAACAGACAGCAGAGAGAAGCCGATATAGGCTGCTCAAGCGAACACGTCCTTTTGTGAGGCTAAGGATTTGCAGTAGATTAGATTAACTTTTCTGCTGTGTGAATTGCGACCTGCAGAGCTTATGGGATGTAAAAAGCCCTGTCTTGTGTAATATTTATACTGCAAATGCAGAGGACTCCTTGAGGGAAAATAACATACTCACTCTCCTCAATGGTTTTACACAGGAGTAGAAGGGAAATTTGATGTTTTGGGTTTTTTTTTTAAACCTTATATACTTAATGTATCTGTGTTTGTCAGTACATTTCCCATAGAAAAAGACAAATGCAAAATTTTTGGAACTACTATCATATATATTTCCAGGTCATTTAATATATATGTGGTTCTTGCATAGAGATAGACTTCTTGTCTGTGGGCATATGCATGTGCACTGCAAACTGGAAAGAGCTGAATTCAGCATAGCAAACTGGCTGTCGCCATTTTCAGCCTATCTTTTTTTTTTTCCTGTCCTTACTGCTGTTAGTCCACTTGAAGAAGAATCTGTTATTCTCCCTCTGTATATTGACCTGAGAATAACTATTAATTCATAAGGCTGCCTAGTTAAGTGGAATTTAAGGAGTTTCATTTTACCATGTTGGAATGCAATAAAACACGATGTTATTAACTCGCCTGAACAATCTATTCGTCGAGGTTTGGAGTTATTTTGTACAGTGTCTGCACCACAGGACATAATGGGAGGGCTGCGGTTTCCTCTTTTACCATTATTTTTAATCTTCTTGTTTTGTTTTATTTTTGAAAGAACATGGTACTACCTCTCTTAAGGTTTATGGTTCAGGGGATATACAAACCAGTTAAGGTCACAGAGAACAAAACCAGCCTGGATGCAAAGTAGAAAGAAAGCATGATTAACCGTTTCTTGTGCCAATGCATCAGCAGCGAAGACACTGAGTGCTTGTGTTTGAGAAGGCTTGGGGGAGCGGGGGAGGAGGACTGTGCCTTGAGAGAAATACGAGGATTAAAGGAAAAGAAAGTAAACTTCCACTGTGATAAATGCAGCAGGTAGAAATAGACTGACCTAAAGTAGAATGAAGTAAGACATTCACAGCAGATTAACAAAGCAAATACTAGTGACTGTGTAGATAAGATAGAAAGCAGTTTATTGACTCAGTGCTTATATACAATAAAGTTAACCAAGCTCATTAACATCTTTTGCTGGGCTATTTGCAGAATATCCAAGGGATGACAGGAACTCCTATGGTGGCTGCTAGTCCAGAGAGACATGATGGTGGTTTACAGGCAAACCCGGTGGAAGTGCAGAGTTACCAACCACCCTGGAAAGTACTGAGTGACTTCGCATTGCAGAGTGACATAGATCAACCTGCTTTTCAGCAACTAGTAAGTGTCTGTTCTCAGCCCCAGCAGTGCCGGGATTCGCTGAACATTCTCAGCAGGAGGGCTGCTCCTGCAGCCCTTGTTCCAGGGATGAGCAGTTCAGGCCAGCAGCGTTTCTCTGAGATTACAAGGTGGGCATTTTGGCACTCTGTAAATGTGGCAATTTGAACTGATTTTGCTGGGCTTGGTGCAAAAAAGTACTGCAGTGCAAAAATCTTGTCCAAAAGAATGCAAGCTGGATAAGGCAAAACCCAGGTCTGAGACTGATTTGGCTCAGACACCACTGAAAACTGAAAGCATGTCTAACTAAACCATACCCCTGTATGGAAGGGACATTATGAAAACAATTTCCACAGTTTACTCTCCCCAATCCCTTCCCTCATTTGGGCCAATTTTGACTTTATACTATAAGTTTAAAATATATGGCTGCAACTCCAGACCAAGTCCTTGCTTTGTTCCACAAACACGATGTAATTAAAGTATCAGCTCCTTCCTTTACACATGTAAGTTTAGATATGACTTTATATTTCTCTATTCAGATATTTGCATATAATTACACGTTCCTATAGCATACATTAAATGTTGTACTTGGAAAATGAAATAGTCGGTACATATTCACTTGCAAAATTCAAACAATATGAACAGCCTTAAGCCAAAAGAAAACAGGCATTTTAGAATAAATTCTGTTCTTAACTCACTTCCTTATGCCTACGTCATTTGGCAGCTCAAATGGGACCATATCAACTGCAATACTTAGGCCCAAGAAGGTGAATTAAGGACAGAAGTTCAACCTTAACTCAATTTCCTGGCCTAAGTGTCTTAAAACCAGATCTTTAAAATAATAAGGTACGTTGTATATGCTTCTTCAGTGATTCAAAGCAATACTTAAAGATGAAATATTATTATATGGATCCTTTTTCTCATCTGCTGGGAATCTTTTTCATCATAAGCAATGGAGGACAACAGTTTGTAGCCACATGAACAGATGTTTGTGGAAATTTTCTGTTTAGTATCATACTGTTTTGGAAGGGCTCTATTTTTTTTTCCACCCAGTGTCAAGCTGTGGTCTGTATGCCCTCCTGGCACAATGTGCTTACTCAGGAACTACAGCACAGCAGTGGGGCTGTTTGCATCATCTTACCTCAAATAACCGTTTTCCTGATTTAATCAAGCTGTCAAACAGGCATAAGAAAAAATAGTCTCTTTTGGTTGCCTTACAGAACTGGAGGTATTAAAAACCTTTCATACAGTGAGTTTTTGCAAGGAATAGGTCTTTAAAAAAAAAAAAAAAAAAAAAAAAAGGAAGATGGATCACCCTAGTACATACACATATGTAGATAGACACACCACTAGATAGGTAGATAGATATTGATTCATAAAGTGCGTGATGCCTGATACTGAAAATAGTTAAAATAAAAGATAGTGGATGCAACATATCGACCACTCAAGGCAGGTCTGTAATCTGAAAAGGGCCTTGATCACAGGATCGGCCAGCTAAATAGGTGCGAAAGAAATGCATTTGGATTAGCAAAGCTCCACCCTTTACTTCAGGCCTTTTCCCAGCACTGCCACTAAACCAACAGGAGCTGCGGGGCACATTAAGATGGAGAAGTGTGACCTTTTTTATCAAGAGGACTCTTGTTAAAAAGAGATATCACAACTCCCAATTGTGAATGAAAGAGAATGGCTTATTTCAAATGCCTTCTGCTCTTCGCTGCTTCTTGCAGGTTTATTTTAGTATATGCATAAAGAGGGAAAAGAGTAACCTTACAGTTTTGTGTCAAAAAGCACATGCACTCTTAAATAATTGACTAGAACATCCTGTTGGGATTGCCACTCTTGCAAGACACAGAAGAAGGCCTGGCAAATAAGGTTGTTTATTTACTTGTGGATTTTATTTTTCAGTCTTCTTAAACTTTCTTTTTTAAAACTTTTTTCCCCTGATGATTTGGCTGACAGCCTAAAGAAGAGTCTTATGAAGTCAATGGGGAATGGGTAAAATAAATACAGCCACAAAAAGCAAGACAGTCTCCCGTGGAGATGTATCAGGCCATTGAAATGCATACTTGTTCTTTTTTTCTTGCCTTCTTCTTTGCATTTGCCAGCTACTTTTGTTTGATTGTTATAATTGTAAATATATATATATATTTTTCTTATTTCTTCTTCTTTTTTCTCCCCTTCCCCTACCCCCTCCTCCCATTTTTTTTTTTTTTTTTTTTTTTTTGGCAGGTTAATTTTTCAGAAGGAGGACCTGGTTCCAATTCTACTGGAAGTGAAGTGGCATCAATGTCCTCTCAGCTCCCAGATACGCCCAACAGCATGGTAGCCAGTCCTATTGAGGCATGAGGAAAATTCATCCAGAGTTCTGATGTTGTTGTTTCTGCCCTTACCCTCAGCCCTGTTGGAGAGAGTGGGAAAGTGATCATGTTTGGACTCCGAAATTTAGGTGGGAAAAGTATTTAATGGCCCTTTAATGAACCTGGCAAGTAACCGCTCCATGAAACAAACGGAGTCATGTTTGAAAAGAGAAGGTAATATGGTAGCAACACTGTGAAGACAATCATGGGATCTTACTAGAATAATGCTAAAACAAACAAAAAACCACCATGCTTCTCAATGATCTTGACGAGGATCGAAAAGACATTTTCAAAATATAGGGGATATGTACTCATGAATCTTTAAAAAAAAAATTACATTTGACTGCACATCTTAGAGAGAAACCAAGATAGAGGGACTTTCTCCTAACCCGAATGGTGCTGTTTCTATATTGGTCATTGCCTTGCCAAAAGGAGCTCCGGTAGGTTTTCCATCATCAAGAAAGAGACGATTTAGCCCCGCGTTGTTGAAAGATTCATTGCAGGAAGGTGGAGCTGCATTGGTTTGCAATGTTGTTTTTAGTTGACTCTTAACAAGGGGTTGTTTCCTGGGTCTCTTATAGCATGTACTGTAGCGGGGTTTTGGTTTGTGTTTGGTTGAGATCCACCCTCTATCAAGTCTGAAGTAATTAATAAATAGGTTTTTGAATTACTCTTTAAAAACCATTTATAAAAGCATTGCAACAAGGTATACCTCTATTTTGCCACAAAGCGTCTCGGGATTGTGTTTGAAATGTGTCTGTCCAAGAACCTTCCCCTCCCCCAAAGATGTGTATAGTCATTGGTTAAAAACAACTGTTTTCTCTCTCTTTCTTTTTCTCTCTGTCTCTCTCTCTCTTTCTCTCAATAAATAGAAAAAAAAAAAAAAAAAAAAAAAAAAAGTAAAAAGAAAAAGGAAAAAAACACCACCCTTTTTGTTTGCTCTTGCATTGCAAAATTATAAAGTAATTTATTATTTATTATTGGAAGACTTGCCACTTTTCATGTCATTTGACTCTATTTTTTTGTTTGCTGAAGTAAAAAAAAAAAAAAAAAAAAAAAAAAAGAAAAAAAAGAAAAAAGAAAAAAAAAAAAGAAAAGATTGTACCGTGGTCTTTGAATTATATGTCTTATTCTATGTGGTTTTTGTCTTTTTTTCCTTAAATATTATGTGAAATAAAGGCGCCATATGTAGAATTATTATATCTTCAGGACTATTTCACTAAATAAGCGTTTGGAATAGAGAAAATAATAATAGTAATAATAATAATAATAATAAATAATGAACAAAGTTCCCTCTTTTAAATATTTACAAATTAGCAGCTAAAATACCTGAAATAAAATACTGCATGCAAAGCAGGTCGTTAGTGAAAACAAGGAGTGTGATATTTTATTGCAAGTATTAACGACCAGCTTGTAAATTTCCGTTTCAACAGCTATATCAGGGCTAGTTGGATGCCTTAGCTTTCAATTGATAACATTAGAAACTCTCTTGTTCCCTTCCCTCCCCCTTATCCTTTGCCCTTAAAAGTGGTATTACTCTAGGCATGGTCTGACATAACTTTAAGACATCGAAAGAACTGAGAGCTCAGGCTTTTTGCTGAGTTCCACTATTTTTTAAAAAATATTAAAAAGTAAGTGCTGTATACCAAAGCCTCGTTGTTGAGATTGTTGAAGTGACCTGTATTTTAAGTAAGCTCCTGATAAAAGGGATGCTTTTTGCTTAACGAGTCAAGTATGACCATTATTTATCAGTGTCTGCTGTCAAAACGCTTGAAAAAATGCTGCAGAAGAAATAGGATTCGGGGATATTGCTATGAAATTGCACGATCGGTGTTCCTTCTTCTCTGTCGACTTCCCTCTCTTCACTCCCTCTTTTCTTCCTTTTTTAATTTGTGGGGGAGAGGGTGGTGAAGGCTAAAAAAGTGGGCGAGTTCTTGGGGAAAAGTGAAAAAGAAGAAGGAAAAAAATAACAAAACATTGGAAAGGGTTGTTTTTACTCGAATCCAAGTGTTTCCTAGTGCTCCCAGCCAGCACAAGACAATGACTCGCCCTAAAAAAATCGTTAACAACTGGAATATTCAGAGATATTTAGGCTGACAAGGACAAGTTGGTTTGCATGATAGTTACTCCAAAGCCTGATGTTTTCTTAACATATCCTTTTTCTTCCCTCCTTCCCATTTCAGCTCTCCCTGAGCAAGCTCAGCTGTAGAGACAAACCATTTCGACAGTAGAAAGAAAATAATAATAATAATAATAATTATAATTATAATTATAATAAAGGTTAAAAGCCTAATACAAGGATTTCAATCATCCTGATTAGAAACTGGATTCATTTTGTATGCTCAAGTGTAATACATTTTTGAGTACTTGATAAATATTTAAATAAATATGAAATCTACCTTAAACTGTGTGATCAGTAACCCTTGTGTTTTCATACAGTATTAGAGGCTTGCTATGAGACTTCGAGGGGTGGGAGGGAGAAAGGGTGCAATATCTGCACAATGGTCCAACGTGTAAACTCTCTGATTTGCTTGTACTGACTGGGGGGGATATGGGTGCTAGGTCTCCAAATGAGGGTGCAGGGGTGTGCAGTTGGCTCTGCAGTCAGGGCAAAACTGGGGCCTTCGCATTTGTCTGGCGGCTGACACGAAGGTGAGAAGTGCAGCCACTCGGCGAGGGTTCCGCGGGCGAGGAACCTGAGCGGGGGCATTGCTGAGACCCCCGGGCAGAACTCCGGAGACAGTGAAGGTCTATCGCCCGAGAGCCGCGCTGCGGTTCAGCTCCCAGTTGCTGCTTGCGCGGGGGCCGACCCTGCGGCCAAGATAAGCGTCCCGCCGGGAGGCTTTGGTTTTAGCTGCCGGGAGAGACCTGCTGCTCGAAGCGCACAAGGCCGGGTGGGCCCGAGGAGCTGCAGCCGCACCCCGGCTCCAGCTGTGCCGTGCATGGGAGCCCCGTTCGGGACTCCGGTCTGCACCTCACGGAGCGCCGTCTCCCCGAGCCTCGCACGGGAGCTGCGGCCGCTCCGCCTTGCGGGGTGCGAGTCACCGCTCTGAGGCGTCCTGCTGCTCGGCCCTGAGGCCCCGGGGGCACGGCAAAGTCGGTCCCAAGAGGTTCACTAAAGCAGCCCTCGTCTCATTTTAAGACTCGACACATTTTAAGACTTCTGTGCTCGCGTGTATTCTTTGATGGTCTTTAGCTTGCTTTTCTGCTTCGTATGTCTGTGGTTTATCCTTCCTCCCCAGAAAACTTCTGAGTTTTATCTGCTGTGGAATTTTGAGTCGTTCCCTCTAGTGTCTTCAGGAGAACACTCTTCCTGAACTCGAGCAGCAGTTTTTGTGCGAGAGAAAAGATCTTTCCGACATGGAGAGGCTAACTCCAACGGTTTATTTTTGCTGCAGCCCTTCTCAATAAAGGCAAATAAGGTCTGCTAAAATTTACTATTATTTCTCTACATTGTTAAAACACACTGGGGACAGTACTGAAACTCTTTTCATTTCGATATTTGTGCCAGGTTAATCAGCATCCAGCGTCCTCCAGCGAAAGCAGGAGTGAGACACTGACGCCAGAGGTGTGAATTCCAGCGCTGATATCGGTTGAACATCTTAGCGGTAAGTGCTTGCCTTCATATACATACATATGTGAAGATAGATATTGATAAATCCACTCTGGGTCACCCAAAAGCAGGTCGTGGGGAGGGAAAATCCAGCTCCGGGAGGGCTCGCCTGTGCCTCTGCCGCCTGCCGCAGCCCGGGATTCGGGGCTCCGGCACCGCGCGGGTTGCACGGGCACGGCTCATGCTCTTCTGTCTGCTCGCCCGAAGCGCCGGCAGCGTTTTACGGTGCGAGGTGCCGCTTTGGGCGCTTCAGCAGAGCTGTAAGTAGTTAATAAAGGGGCTGGGAAGAGATCCTGTTTACTGATTGTTGCTGATTGTTGTTTTCTTGATAACAGACCAAGCCACTGAATGACTGTTTGAGCTCAGGCGCCACAAACATAAACTTAACAGCTCCCAGTGTGCCGGCCTTGCTGCAGGATCACTCCTCACCTCCCGGGACTTGTGAAGTGCAGGCGGAGAAGGCAGCTCCCGAGGAGGCGGCGGGGAGGCAGGCTCCGGGGGGGGGGGGCGGGGGAGGCCGTGGTCTGTGACCGAGTTTTCTGTATGGTATCGTATCCGCTGTCGTTAACCAGGGAAAGGGGTGCAAAACTAATCGGTGCTTTTTCCCGAGGCTCCCGTCCATGCTAGGGGTTGAGAGAAGGTCCTTGCGCCGCTCTTCGCAGCACTGGAACCGGGAAAGGCAGCTTTTGCTTCGAAATGCTGTTTCATAGTACAGATTTTTCTTTCTTGCAGCTCACCACACTAACCGCTCAGGGTGCCGGGAACGGAAAGCGAGGGAGGCGGGGGTGTTATGCAGCATCACTGCACCCGGCCTGGTCCCAGCAACGGGGCAGCCTTTCCGCTGGGTTACCTGTGGCTCCGGATTGCTCCGGCGTCGTCGTCGGTGAGATGTGGGAAGAAGGAAGGAGAAAGGTTGCGAAAAAGGATTTTTGCTGAAGTGTGGTTTTTTTTTTTTTTTTTTTTTTTTTTTTAAATTGCTTTTGTTTGTTTGTTTGTTTTTCTCCTGTTACACAACATAGGACAAGGTATTCTTGTGGGAGAGAGAGAAGATGGAGAAGTTTTCCAGAAATAAGTGACACGGAGCAAAGCAGAGCTCTACTCCTATCTTAAGGCGGCAATGGGAAGAGGAAAATAGGGTGTTACTGTGGCTTTTCTTTGGGAGGGCTGTTCGGGTCGGTAGATCTCCAAGGCTAATCCAAACAACCCGTTTGACTTGTGAGGTCCGGAGTCTAGACAGAGCTGGTGGCTCGGCGGCTCCTTATCTGGTTTTGGAATCAGCAGAAAGAGACTTTTCTTAATGTCCACAGCAGCACTGGGTTCTGCGGGGGCCGGGTAGCCACCGCACCTCGCAGACAGGACAACAAATACACCCACCACCTGGAGGCTTTATAGCCCGCTTTGTTGTTCCCGATCTCTGTCTCGCCCCTGCCCTCGGCCGACGGGCAGGGGTAAGTCCCTCGGGCTGCTTAATACGGCATAGACGTGGTGCTCGCCCTGTCGCCCCTCGGCCACTGAAAGGCCACCTCCACAGCAGGATGGGACAGTGGGCACTCGACTCCTGATGGATTTCTAAGCTCTTTCTCCCTCTCTCTCTCTCTCTCTCTGTCTCTTTCTTTCTTTCTTTCTTTCTTTCTTTCTTTCTTTCTTTCTTTCTTTCTTTCTTTCTTTCTGTCTGTCTGTCTTTCTGTCTTTCTGTCTTTCTTCCTTTCTTCCTTTCTTCCTTTCTTCCTTTCTTCCTTTCTTCCTTTCTTCCTTTCTTCCTTTCTTCCCTTTCTTCCCTTTCTTCCCTTTCTTTCCTTTCTTTCCTTTCTTCCCTTTCTTTCCTTTCTTTCCTTTCTTCCCTTTCTTCTCTTTCTTCTCTTTCTTCTCTTTCTTCTCTTTCTTCTCTTTCTTCTCTTTCTTCTCTTTCTTCTCTTTCTTCTCTTTCTCTCTTTCTCTCTTTCTCTCTTTCCGTTTGTGCATGACACTAATTTACTATTATTTTTTTCCAATTGGATTTTTGCAGACAATGGAAAAAAACCAAACCAAACAAAAACAAAAAACAAAACAAAAAACCCCCAAACCAACAACTACCCAAACTCACCAGTGTTCGCCAACTCTGGAGACTGATGGAAGCAAATCAATCAAGAGAGAGGAAGCCTGTTTAGATATAATATCTTCTTTGGAGGTAGAAAATTGCCCTCTATATTATTCCTTTGTGCTGGGTTTGTGGACACTGAGTAATAAAGCATGTTAAATGGAGTTCAGATCAATAAAAGCATTTAGCTCAGTAGCAAGAAGTATTTTGGAAAGTGGGAAGAAAGGTGCATCTTTTCATTGGACGTCCCTTTTCCTATTTATTCGT